ATGTGAAAACACAGGGAGAAGATGGCCATCTATAAGCCAAAGAGAGAGGCTTGAAACAGATCCTTCCCTCGTGACCTTCAGAAAGAAGGCCCTGACACCTTGACCTTGAACTTCTAGCCTCAGAAGCATGAGACAATATATTTCTGTTGTTTAAACCACTCAGTCTGTGGTACAATGGCCCCAGAAAACTAATACAGCTGACTCGCCTTATACTATATGGTAATAAAAACAAAGTCAGGATCAAAACTCAGCTTTCCAGACTCTAATATCCATGGGGCTTTCCACCTCACTACACTGCCTTGAAACTTAACTCCCTGTTTCAAAGTTCTATGCCACAAAAATCTTATACTTGTTCTACTTGTATAGGATCACACTAAATATGGCATAATATTGTTTATGCTGAACTCTTGTGAGCCACACTCCCACATCGCCAACAAGATAATAGCATATAGATGTCTCATGAATTCAAAATGCCTAAAAGCCAAATAAACCACCCCTAAAAGTTAGCATGACACTATTTTGAAATCTAAGAAATCTAGGCACAAGTTCTAACTCCTTGGACAAGTCATATAACCTCTCTGAGCCTCAACTGCATATTTATAATACAGATTCTATAAATAATATAAATTCTATAGAAACAACTCTTCAATTTGATGTGAATATTAAATTGAATAATAGCCTTTTCAAACTGTAAAGTGTTGAAAGCAATTCTCCATGCAATCACAAACTATTTCTCTGGCAACATTTTTTTTTACTAATTCAAACTCAAAACATTGATATTCTGCTCTCAAATCATCTATAACCAATAATTTACCTAGCTATGACAATTCTTTCTCTATACATCATTTTTTGTCACTGCTTTCTAATAAAAACCTCATAATTTCAAATCTACATTATTTTGAATGACTGATCGATCAGGTTCCAGGTTCCTCCTTATCTAATATATCTTAATATCATATTTATCTTCCTAATATACTCAGCTCAAAAGTCTTGAGAGAGGCCATCTAACCCACAGAACAAGCTCCCACCAACAGAGCCCTGCGATCTACAACACAACTCAATCCCGGGCTAGTATTAAGCTTATCTCCAGACTTACTATGTACTTAAGTATGAACAGACAGATCATCAATAATTTCAGCTGACCCTACTTGCTTTGTCCCTTGAACTTCCCAGTGATGGACACAACTGTCATAACAAGACTGATGATATTATTATAAACTTTCTCTTAACCTTGAATCTGGATCAGTACCAATAGCAAGGTTTGGATGGTTAATTCCAGTTCACACCCCCACATGCTTAGGGAGCATGCCTGCTGCCCAGTTTCATTTTCTTCCCACTTCTCCCTAGGTGCAGCATCTCTGCCCCTTTCCTATTGCCTAACATACAGGATCTACCATAATAAAATTCAACAGCACTCTTAACTTTGCCTCTCTACATAGCTCAACTGGAACCCACTGCTCTATCTCATTTCTAATGGGGTTTCCAATCCCATTAGACCTAATATCTTCTTTATATAACACTTTATAAACATGCCTTTACTACTATGAAATGAAATTCCCAGATAATAGGATCTGTGTATACACATAATTTCAAATATTTATACACAGAATTCAAATATATATCTATATGTAAATTATATACAAAAAATAATGTATTTAAATATATAAACGGTCAGGCACAACTAACCTGGAAAACATAATAAAGAATAGTGCTCACATCTACATGTAGAACCAGAATGAACACAACCAGTACAAATGCAGACTGATTTGCATTTGTTTTGAGAGTGTTACATTAACAACTTAACACAAGCAGCACTGTCACTAGTTATAAAACTTTCCAAAACGGTGAACAAATTTTAGCAAAGTTTTAAACAAAACAAAATAAAATTTTCCTTTGATTTGCACTGCAGTTGTATTTCTGGAAAAGATGGTATGTATTAAATGTATGCAGAGCATACTTTGCATTTATATGCGTAATAGTTGGGTCACAGCCTAAGACAAATATAAAAAGATTTTCCCCAGCATGAATGCCCAGTCAGACATTCAAACAGCTTATGGGACATGAGGATTGAGAAACTTTGTAAAGGAGCAGACAGTATATAGTTTAGGTTTTGCAAACCACACATTCTGTCGCAACCACTTGATTCGAAGAAAGCAGCCACAGACAATGCATAAATGACTGAGAGTGCTATGTTCAAGTAAAACTTTGTTTACAAAAACTGGCAGAGGATCTCAGACTTTAGTTTGCCTACCTCTGTATTAAAGTGTCCAACATATTGCAGGATGCTTAGCAACTATCCACTAAATGCCAATTGCATGATCTAATTATTGTGATGACAAAAACACCTCCTATGGAGTAATAAACACCCCGCCCCGCAACACAGACCTGAGAACTTCTGACCTAAATATCCTTATTCACTACACTTGACAAAGGCATTGAGCCTTCTGGTCTCAGATCCTTTTCTATATCTGTTTGGAACGCAACTTGTCCTCAATCTACTCTTCACTGTTTATCTCCCTTATGTGTAGTGTCGTTCAAGACCCAGCTGACACCTTACCTCCCATGACAGTGGAGGAATTTCTTTAGAACTTGCAATTTTTTCGAAATGATTCGACATCAATATGTCACCTTATATTATTCCTCAAAATATTATCTACATGTTCAGTCTCTCACCTGGAAGGCAAATTCTTTAAGGGGAGACACTCTGTCTAATACTCTACCACATTTATAGACTCTGGCTCAATGATTTTCCTTAAGTCACTCAATAAAGATCATGATTACCGTGCTAGACGTTGAGGATAAAGCAGTAAACAATCAGACAAAGTCTCTGATCTCACCAAGATTACACACTAGTAGAGAGGAGTGAAAATAATTAATTTCAGATTCCAATAAGAACTATAAAGGAAATAAACAAAGTGATGACATGGTGAGTAAAGAAGGGTAAGATGGTGGTCATCTAGCTGCTATATGATGGTCAAAGGAAACTTTTGGGAAAAGATGACACTAGAATTGCCATGCAGCATACAAAAAGAGCCAGGGAAGAGCCTTCCAGCCATGGGGAAAAGCATGTGTAAAATTCTTGACACAGGAAGTCCTGTGGCATGTTTGAGGAAAAACCAATCATACAGTACTTGAAACTTAGGCTTTTAAATAAGGAGTGACATTATATGATTTCAGTTTTTAAAAAGAGTGATTACAGAGTAGAGAAGGGATAGTATAAAAATAAAAGAGGAAGTGGAGAGTACAATTAAACTATTACAACAGTCCAAGCAAGAACTAATGATACCCTGGACTGGGGGTGGCAAGAAAGTAAAAGAAAGTAGACAATTTGAGATATCTTTTAGAAAATTTACAGGACTCATTCATGGGCTAGATTTAGGAAGGAGGAAGACTGCATGATGCTATTTCTAAAATGAGAAGAAAACAGTTTGAGTTATGGTGGGGGACCATGAATTCTATTTGGATATGTTAAGTTTGAAATGACTGTTATACAGTGATTGATTTTTAAAGGTTGAACCAGCCTTGCATTTCCAGAATAAGCCTCCCTTGGTAGTGATATATTATCTTTTTTATATATTACTGGATTCAAGAGGAAATGCCAGTTAGGCAGATGGATATATGAGAATGGAGACAAAGACAAGGTCTTAGCTAAAGAAAGGCAATGTAGGTCATCAGCTTATGGTTGCTATTTAAAGTCATGAAACAAAAAAAAATGCTGACTGGAGAAAAGAGGGCCTCCTCTCTGTCTTATAGAAGAAGCCAGCACAAGAGAAAGAGAAAAAGCTATTTACCTGGAAAAGTCGATGTCACAGAAGATAATGTTTCAATCACGTACAATTTGCTAAAATGATGAGTAAATTAAGACACAGAGGTGTCTACTTGATTTGGCAAGTAAGAGGTCATTGATGAACTTTACAAGAACATTTTCAGCTAAATGGGAATAATGGAAACCAAATTCAAGGGGTATAAAAAGGAGAATGAGAGGCAAGAAAAAAAAAAAAAACAACAGAAGTACTCCTCAAAAATAAATGTAAATCATAATGATAGTTGTGGAAGACAAAGCAGACCAATGACAGACTACATTTAGTTAACCAATACCGTAATAATATTATTTCAGTAAATCACTGATATTTATCTTGTTCAGTAAATCACTGATATTTGTCTTATGGATCAGTGATATTTATCTTGTTCAGTAAATCACTGATATTTATCTTGTTGTGGATCAGCAGAACGAGTACATATGGTTCTTTCCATATGCAAAAATAAACTGAAGTCTTACGTCAAGATAATTTGTACCTTTAAAAATAGAGTAGAGGTAAAGCTATTAATATTACAAGTTCTGAATCTGAACTGAGGAGTTTCCACTAACAAAAGAAGATACCTTATTCTTTTAGATTAGAGAAACTATGCAGGAAGTAATAAAGCAAAAAATAGAGCAATCTTATTTGACAAATTTTTTTTAAAACATATGTAACAACTACATTGTAAAAAGAATTTTTAGAAAATGACAGAATAGAAGAAAATATTACAACCTAAATGACACTAAAATAGAGTGTAAATCAGTAAGAAAAACCAATAGAAAATATAGTAAAGAAGAGGAACAAGGAAATCAAGAAAAAAGAAATACGAATGACTAATAAGATAGCATGATCTCCACATTTTTAAGGACTTTCTTTAAAAGTCATGAATATAGAGTAATGCTAGATTCATACGTGCCTTAGGAGCTCTGCAAACAAGATCAGACACATAAAGTTCCTCAGTCAGTTAATGATAGTCTCGCCATCAATACACAGCAATATTTTTTTCCCCACACCTGAGTATACTGCAGGATGGTCTTATTTTATTGATATGACTTGATATGACTGCAAGAGGTACTAATTTTTACATTTCATTTTATGCATTCCATGAGAAATATAATATAGAGTATAGGTGCATAATATTTAAACAGCTACAGGCATCATGCAAACACAAAAGCAAAGATATCAAGAGAAAATTCCTACCTTCCCTGATAGCTGTAAAAGGTGTACCTTCTTCTTCTTGCAGCCTAATCACCTTCAGGGCTACCAACTTGCCATTTACCCTGGAAGAAACAAAAGAAAAAATGAGAAGCAAATCCATGAAAATATGTTCCTGTTATGGTTCCAATCGTCTTCCTTATAATTTATATTTTTTTTGCACTGAAAATGTCAGTGACTCAATTATGCCGCCACAACAAGATTAACTTCAGTAAGTCTGGGAATTCTATAGCATCATCATAAGTACTCACACTTTAAACATTCACATTTTAAATATTCACACTTGCACAGTCCAAGATTTAAATGAAGTTTTCTGTGATTCACTCTATGTTCCTTCCAGAATGAAACCAGTGCTTAACAAAATCACCATGCTTGGTCAATTATTCTCAAGTTAATTAAAAATCAAACAGTCAAAATAACTCTCTTCCTTAGTTTCTCCAATCGCTCCTTTGTTTTGCCAAAATGTCTTCTTCGGTCTTAAACTGAGATCATTCAATTCCCAAGGACAAAAACTTGACACCCAGTCTTCCATCTTCCGGCTTCCTGTCTGTCTCTCTCCCTCCCTACCCTACTTCTTTCTCTCTTTCTCTCTTTCTCTTTCTCTCTCTCTTTCTCTCTCTCTTTCTCTCTCTCTCTCTCTCTCTCTTTCTCTTTCTCTCTCTCTCTCTCTTCCCCCCATCCCTCCATCACCCATTCCTACTTTTTTCACTATTTTTTTTTCACTGAAGCACCCTAAAATTATATTTGGTCTGACTGTGTTTTATAATACAGTATATCATCAAAATAAAAGTTATGACTATTTTACTATTACAAGATTACACAGGCTTACCCAAAGCAGATGGTTCTTCCAGACGCATTCTAAATGTGTATTGGCTCTAACTGAGATTGCAGTAGGCAGCTAACTTTTTTTCCAGTCAATTCTGTTAACAAGGACATGACTATCTATATTAGTCTTCTAGTTAAATGCTCTACTTTCTATCTTTACTAGGCCAAGCAGCATATTTTGTTAATTAAAATAAGTAAAACATGCACACATTAAAAGTTCTGTAAAAGATACAAGAGTGTTTGGTGAAAAGTTAATATCTTTGCTGCAGCCTTTCTCAGCCACTCAGCTCCTATCCTTTGAGGTCACCACTTACCATTGTTCATACATACTTATACACACAGAGAGACATACACACAGATATACACACAGACACACACATATATATATACACATACACACATATGCACACACAAATAGTAGTATGCTTCATGGAGTACATTACGTATTGTTTTTATTACTTAACATACTTTGGTGGCTTCTCCATAAATTCATAAAAAACTGTCTCTTGCTTTTGAAAGGAATACACGGTATTCCTCTGTATGAGTGTAGTATACTTAATCCTAGTCCTCTACCGATAGGCATTTAGTATGTTCCCATTTTTTGCTACTAACACAATGATGCAATAAATTCTTGGAAATGTAATTTCATCCATGTAAAAATATGTCAGTAAGATAAATTCTTAAAAATGGAATTGAAAGATCAAAATATATGTACATTTCTAAATCCTAATTCTGATGAGTATTCAGAAATTATCCTGCATAAAGGTTGTACTAATTTACATTTCCTATAGCAAATGATAAGAGCTCCTGGTTCCCCCTTCATCTATACTACGTTTTCAACCTTGAATTTGCCAATGTGATAGATGAAAAGTGGTTTCTCATTGCAATTTCAATTGCAACCAAAGATCTTTCAAGGTTATGGAACTCGCAAAGGATAACTCATGTGGTCCAGAGAACCCAGTGCCTGAGTCTGAAATAAAGAATTTGAATGTCTCTTTTTTAAGAACTACATCCATTTAGTCTGTTTTTACTCAAAGAACTGTCACAGACATGAAACTCAAAAGGCCAAGAAATTTATCACAGCTCAACCATCCCAGTGGCATTTCTAAACTGATTGTTGAAATACATTATTGGTTACAGTAATCAAATAAAGATATCTAATTATAAAGCTCTGCAATGTGCCATCTACATGAGCTTGTGCGTTGTGTTTATTTTCCTTGTGTTCAGCTGGGAGGACAGGCCTGCTGCTTTTCTGCCCTGCAACTCTCCTCTCCCGAGTACATTACCTTAAATTTTCTGATCTTCACTGCGCTCTAGGTACCCAGGTGCAGGTAGAACATTAGTATCAACATGGGGTTCAAATGGAGACTGTACCTTATGCTCCTCACTTTGTCCTTTACGACTAAGGGAGGCCTTTGGCAGGGCTTGAGGCTGGGATGCAGTCAGTGCTGACATCTGCACAGATTTTTCTCAGCCCAGTTGAGCTCATCGCTAGCTCCCCGAGGGGGCGGTAACTGATTCCAGGAATTGCTTGGAATTTTCTCCTCATTTACTGATATTTTCCCCTCACCCTTAAAAAAACACACACAACCTTCTACCCACAAAGCATTTCCATTTCCCTTGAGATCGTTAACTGATATGTACCATGAACTGAATTCTGGAATACATGGAATTCATATTTTTGAAGGTTATATACTTAAAACACATTCTCAGACCACAAAGCTGTGACTGTACTGAAATACACTAAAAGGAAACAAACCTTCAACTGAGCCAATACTCTTCAAATGCAACTAGAAATGGAACACCTTTAAGTAATCTCATATGTGCATTATTTTTGTTATGGAAAAATTTTATAACATATTTACTATGATAATGGCATAAAAAAGCAAGATCCAAGTCAATGGAATTCTGATTCTGAAGTATATTTCTCCATGAATTAAACCTCTAAGTATTAATTTCTTATGATAATTACAACATTTAAAGACATTGAGATTTTATGAATAACATCATATGAAACTGAACGTGTCCTTAAGATTTATACTAGACCATTAGCTCCAGGAGTGAAGGAACTTTTTCTGTTTTGTTGACTGTTATATGCCCAGTGTCTAAAACTGCCTGGCATAGAGTAGACTCTCTATTTTATTGAACGAATATTAATAATGTTACTATACTGACATTTCCATCCTAATACCTGCAAGATAATTCAAGAATAAAGTATAAAAATTATTGCTCAACATCACTAATCATCAGGGAAACGCAAATCAAAACCACAATGAGCTATCACCTCGCATCTGTCAGAATGGCCATCATAAAGAAGACAAGAGACAACGGTTGCTGGCAAAGACGTGGTAAAAGGGAAGCTTTACACATTATTGGCGGGAATGTAAATTGGTCTACCCACCATGGAAAACAATATGTGGTACCCTCAAAAAATTAAAAATAGATCTACCATATGATCCAGCAATTCCACTACCAGGTATAGTATACCCAAAGGAAATGAAAATAGGATTTTGATGAAATGTATGCACTCTCATGTTTATCACAGCATTATTCACAATAGCTAAATATGGAAATAACCCTAATACCCATCAAAGGATGAATTGGAAAAAAAAGAAGTGCTACACATACACAACAAAATATTATTTAGCCATGAAAAAGGAAGATATCCTTCCTTTTTGGACCTTGATGGACCTTGAGCACATTATGCTAAGCAAGATAGAGTCATAGAAAGACAAGTACTATATGACATCATCTAAATGTGGAAACTAAAAAAGTTAAACCTGTAAAACACAAAGCGTAAAATGGTGGTTACCAGGGAATGGGGGTTAGGGGTGGGAGATAAGAGTGATGGTGTTTAAGGGTACAAACTTGTAACAAGTAGTAAACAAGGCATAGAGATGTTTTACACAGTACAATGAATATAGACAATAATATTATACTATAATTATGCAATGTGTAACGTGATACATATCACTTCATCGGCAAACATATCACAACAGATAGATTATCAAAGTAGCATGTTCTACACCCTAAATTTATGCAATGTTACACATCAAATTGATTCAATTAAAAAAATTATTGCTTTCAAAAATTTCAGAAATCTCAAATTTTTATAAAGCTTTTAACATCTTTCATGTTTGGTTTGAATATTTATTTTCTTTTTTCATATTAAAGGTGCAATCTCTTTGTTTTTCATGTATGCAGATATAAAGTTTTCATTTCCTTAAAAGTTTTAGAATTTATAGAATGTTGTGTTAACTAACCATTTTGCACCCAACAGACACGTTTCAAAATCCTCACCATCCTTTAATAATCAGAGCCCGGACTGCTAATCAGCATCTCCCTCGTCAACAACTGCTTCGTTGGTTTCCCGCTAAGAATCATACTGATTTTCAAATTGCTCTTTAACCTAAGAGTCATTGCAACTTTCTCTTTTCTTAATTAGTTTTTCTCTACATGTCTAGACACTCACCAACTACTGAATTACTCAGTTCTAAAGTCTAGTAAAAATGTTAAGGCACTGGCTCTAGTTTTGGAAAAGCTACCTTTGGAAAAACATCATGAATTTTCTAATATTCAATCTTTCGCGCATATATATTTTTTAAACTTTAGTGTGCACTGAAAGACTTGAAATTCTAAGTTACTACTCTCAAAAAATGTCAGTTTTCAAAGATATCAAATGAAGATATCTGTTATTCTATGAAAAACAAACTAAACATTGTATCTAAGAAGTACCTGTGGGTTTAAGTTATTTTATTAAAGATTCAAAACATATGCTTCAAACACTGATTTCAGTTCTTTAGAATAATTACAAAATTCAAATTGAATCAATAAATTAGAGCTGTTTACAGGAAAATATTGAAGATTCCTCTTTAACAAGTCTTATTAATTAAATCAAAGGCTAATAAACAGAAGGCAATCAAGGTCTGATTGTCAGTGAAGACATAACTCAGGTAAATAAAATGCTTAAAAATAAATGCTTTAAATTATGTTAATATTACCACAGAAAATTCCACTGGAGACACTGTCAGGTTTGTGTCTAATTGTTCTAAGCTATGCAGGGAGCTGTTTTAATTTCAGAGATTCTTCAATATTCTCTAATTCTCCCAACAACTGCCATTTCCCAGTCTGACCTCACTATGAAGCTCACTTCAGGCCCAAAGATGAGTGACTCACTGCTCTAGTCTGACCATCAAACGGGACAAGCTGTCAAGTGCGGCACCAGGAAGAGCCAGGGGAA